GGGCTCTACAGGCACCAGGGTTAGGGCTGTACAGGCACCAGGGTTAGGGCTCTACAGGCACCAGGGTTAGGGCTGTACAGGCACCAGGGTTAGGGTTGTTTGTGGAATAACCTGTTGCGTACACACAGACTAGAGACACAAATTCAGGAAAATGGTTTACTCATTAGAGGCAGATGAGGAAACAACTTTCTTTTAAGCTCTGAATCTGTTCTGTTCTCCCTGGCTAGTCAGTTCCAGTCCCATAGGCAACTGTAGTAGATTGTTCTCATCATGAAGGTGCCCTTTTATAGATTTAGTTTTTTTCATTGAAACCTTATTTAAAGGCATGAGTCAGTTTTTGAAAAATACCCTTTTCATTTGGAGTGGAACCAATGACGATTAAGTTCAGAGGCCAGTACCCTGGAAGAATGTATTCTGTGTGAGTGAAGGCTAGGGTGGCTGACCTGGGCTGTGGAATTGCCCGAAAATAAGACATAAGGTCAAGATATATATCAGAGTAAAATCTGCATTGAAGAAACACAGGCTTTTAATTTAGGATTTTTTTCTTTTACAGCATAATAGAACAACTCAAATAGGAATTTTTAATATTTTTTCTATATACAGTATATAAATCTGCAAATTGTGCTTTAGTCCTTTTTTTCCTGTGGAAAACTGGTTCAACAGTTTAGGTTTTCATAGGTCAATGGACATTGTAAATATTTGTTTTTCACTAATGGTTTGAGCTGACCAGTTCAGCTATACCATTCTGTAACAGTGTACTGTAATATGTGTGGCTAAGGATTTACAAAATCTGTAAATGATAAAACATTCATTAATGCAGTCAATTGCACACCTTCTGTATTTCCATCCAATCTATTATCAAAATATTATACACTGGATTATATTATTTTACATGTGTGTAGACAGGTGTTTCGACATTTTAAAGGTGTTTTGTCAGAAAAAATAAAAATTTCTTACATTTCTTATGTTATTCTTAATATGATTATTAATATTCCATGAACTAGTGCAAGGTGACTGTTCTCCATAGGAATGAAATGTGCCAGAGTGTACAGTATTTTTACATTCGTATAAATGTTAGTCCTTCCTGCTCCTCCAAACAGATTAACAGCTCATGTATCGATGGGATAACCTGCAGAATAAACTCTTACGTTGAACAAGAAGGAGGGACTTTTAAAAGCAGCATTTTGGGTGATTTTCTGCATGTGCCTGAGACCAAGCCACAGGTATGTCACAGAAATATAATGGAATACTGTATAGTGAACCTTATAATGTAACAGATACTGTAAAAAGAAAAACTTTGAAAAAAGTGTGACGTGCCCACATATTTTCCCACAATATGAAATTGTATGGAACTACTTCAATGGAAATTGTTTTTAAGCCAGAATGGTGTGTAAAATAAAAAGCTTGATATTTTTCAGGAACTGAATCCAGGTGTTGCAAAGCAGCAATGCTAACTGCTGCGCCACCATGCTACCTTCTTGCATTTTCTTTTCTTTTACTTATTCTGTATTTTATCTACTTATTGTATTGGTTGCATGAGGTAACCCTTGACAAGGGTGTCAGCTAAATGGGGTGGTAATTCTGCTAATAAAGTTCAGTAAATGCTCTGTGCATTTTATATACATCTCACAAGTCGAATGCACTTTGCACATAAGATAGGAAATTATTAAGGATGCTGAAAGCCTTTCTGTAACCCTCTTGCAGGTCCAGGTTTACATCAATGGCATCATGTCAAAGTGCACTGGCGACTGTGGGTTTCAGTGGACCTCCGCAAAGACTCCCGTTGTTTCAGGGATCAGCCCAACACAAGGTGATTCCGCTGCATTTGCAATATAAAGGGGCCGACTGCCAGTCCAAATCAAACAGATCTGTCTTTAAGCAAGTGGTAGAAGGTGGCTAGGACAGTTTGCAATAGGAATCTATGCCGTATTACATAGCAATGCACAAATACATTCTCAAAGACAAAGTTCTGTTTCTTTCAGGATCGTATGCTCAGGGGACAGTCCTGACAATCACAGGCTCTGGCTTCGCCAGTGAAAACGCTTCTGTTTCAGTAGGCGATGTTCAGTGCCCCATCCTGGAGGTCAACAGTAAGTCACGTAGTCAACACTGTGAACTCTGGGAGATCCCAAGCAAGCAACAGTCTATTGATGAAAATTGCTGTTTGTTTTCCACATGCAGAGGTCTGATGAAATTGAACCATTTGGTGTGAAAATTATTCAACTAAAATGTTATCACAGAAAATAACACAGCTGATATATTTTCTTTTGCCATGGTGAATGGATTTCTAGCATATACACATGCTGTATATAATGTTCTGAACTGAGATGTAGCTGTGCTGGTGTGTCTTTTTGTTCAAGACTGTTTATTTTACGATATAAAAACTCCATCTGAAAAATAGATGTCAAATTTCTCTTCCACTCCTTTTTTCTCCCTTCAGTAATGTTTGTTTCTGTGTCGCAGGCACCAGCATCACCTGTAAAGTTGGAAATGCAAGTGCTGGCACCTACCAAGTCTATGTCAGCTTTGTAAAACTGGGTTTCACTCAAAACACTGGAGGTGCTGTGTTTAATTTCACCGTTAACATGGGGATCTTTAACTACTCACCTCTTGCTGGCAGTGTTGCAGGTAAATGTATTTCCAATATGAGCTTTTCTGGAGCTGGCCTGTTCATTCTTCATACAACTGCTAGGCAGGGCAGAGTTTGCTTTCTGAATGTTCTTGTCCTTTCTGATGACATTGATGTCCTTTGCCAGAGTAGAGCATCTACAAACCTGTAGTTCCTATACATTTCTCAGTGAAATCTGAAGAATAAATGTACTTCGGCTGAAAATTATAAAAACCTGTTTTGTAGCAAATAGGCGGAAACATTTTTTTTTTTAATGCTGGTAAAATGAAGAAGTCCAAATTCTATTTAGGCTTGGAATATTAATGATCTGCTCTACCTAGGAACTGTGATCAGTTCAATTTTTATGCACCTTCTTTTGACTACCAGTGGCATTTTTATTTATCAGGAGGAACTGTGCTCACAGTGTCAGGATATGGATTCAGCAATGCGACACAGGTTCTGATTGGCTCCAGCGCTTGTTCTGTCATATATGTGTCCTTGGATGAAGTGAAGTGTAGAACACCACCTGTAAGTATAGATTTCTGAGATACATTTAATAATTTCCAATTAAAATTATCCTAAATCATAAAGTCAAACATGATCACCAGGTGTTGGAGAATTAAATGTAGTTTTCAATAAAAAAAATATGTAGCCATCATATTAGAGATACAAAACAACAGTTCTGTCTTATTTTAATCTCTGTATGGTCTAGTGACAAAAGTCTGAAAGTGACATGGGTTGGATTTTCAGAATCCATTACAACTGATAAGGAAAACAGAAGAGAGAAAGATTTTCCAGAATATTCTGACTTGAATACTACTAACTGTGAAAGCTTGTGATCTCTACTTTATATTAACCTTCCAGGACTTCTAGAACTGTGTACTTTATCAGCATTCAACATTTTGTAATAACTTTGTTAGTATAGAGAGCATAGGTCTGGTCCATGTCTTAAATTGAAGTTAACTCCAAATACTTTAACCACAGGGAACACCTGGTAACGTCACTGTGCTTTTCAAAACTAATGAAATAAATGCATCAGCCAGTGATCCCTTCAACTACGATGAGTTTCTGACACCTTCAATTACAGATTTAAGTTTGCAGACCACCAATGTAATGGGTAAGTTCATTAATGTATACACTAGCTATACTGATCAGACCAGTAAAGTATTGCTTAAGGACATTATTTGTGTTTGTTTCACTGGTAGGCCTTCATTTTGGCACCACTGTGCTTAATATTTGTTTTAAACTATATCAAGCCACATAGAAGACTTCCTCATGCTTAATTATGCTTGTCAGGATATTATGTTTCATGTCATTTAACCCACAGTTGAATAATACATCTGTTTCAGCTGGTTAACACTAAATACAGAACACAAGCCCATGTGGAAAACGTTCAGAAACTTAATGGGAAGCATAAGGACATTACTTACACTGACAATCCCGTGCCAACTTGTGATATCGTGCTGGAACAGTGCCAAACCGATGTTCGAAATCAAAATCCATTGAAGCCTTAGGGATTTATCTGACATGACAGATTCATGCTCTTTTGCACGAGATGGAAATAATATGTAATTCATGACACCATCTCAATAATTTGGTGGAAATCTGATGGGGGTCCATCAATTAGCAGGCTGCTAAAAACTCAGTCTGGGTTGAATGGCATCTCATAGTTTCACGCTATGCCGTTGTCGTGGGGCTTTGAGTCAATGACTCAACATGCTAGAAGAACTTCAGAAATGTTAGAAGGGAGAAGATTCTATTCAGCCTTCATAGCTTGTTTGGTAGCTAGAGTAAGTGATCCATGGTTCTTATTCTCGAAAGACACCATTGTTTCAAGAGCAGAGTGAGAAGAATCTGCTTGTTATTGAATCTGCTTGTTATAAGAAGAGTTATTGTGTTTGGCCTGAGGGGAGCAAACCCCTATTCCTCTTGTTTATTATTGAACTGTAGGCTCTTAGAAGGAACCTTTGAGAAGAGCTGAGCCTTACAGCCCATATTGTGTACGCACATGTTCTTTCTTTGCAAATGGTCATTACAGACTCCAAAAACAATTGCCTTATTGTCTATTTGTCTCATGGCAACCACAAACACAAACTATAATAGATGCATTCTGGCCATGTGGTGAGAGGGAATATGATATGTTAATTTGCTGTCATTCTCATACACAGGTTTAATAGACAGTTCATACAGTAAATACTGTACACGTCTGCATTACGGGAATAACATAAAATTCTAAGTGAAAACTTAGTGGGCTTTCTTCATAGTTACTTCAAAATCATATTACAAATGAAGACTTTATCTTCTCAAGGGTTCTTTTGCAGGTTGAAGTAATTTGTTTTGGTGATTTGTTTTATCATTTTTGCTATAACTTGTTACGGCATTTTGGCTGGCTTTTTGCTCAGAGGAAATGGTTCCACCATCCTTCTACAGTATATTAACATTTATACATGGGAAGTATGTAGCAGGTGCTGTGTATTATCTCAGCAGCACAGCTGTTTTTTTCTCTTATGTAAATGGCATGATCTGTAGGACAATAAATCAAAGAGGTTAGTTGTTGTGAAACCTGAACAGGGCCTTGGTCTAGACTGCTATTTCCCTGAAACGTCTTTTTCAGCAAAACGTCGTGTACAGGCAATGTGAGTACTAATGGCATTTTTGCTCTAAATATGAGTGATTAATTCTGATTAAAAGTGGTAACTTTGTCCTACATACTGTAGTGAAAAGATCATAGAAAGGTTTCAAGAAGAAGAGGGTGTTTGGCCCATGCAGCTTATTTTGATGCTCATTGTTAATTGATCCAAGGATCTTATAGAGCTGCTTATTCAAATAATTGATGGTATCGGCTTTGACTACATAACTGGGTAGCTTGTTTCACCCTTTGGTCAAAAAGTGACTTATGATCTCAATTTTAAATGCACTCCTCCTTATTTGGGTACACCTGTTCATATTGGTTTGCTGATTTTGAAGTCTATAGGGATAACCTTGTCAGTATCTTTGAGATGTTTGAATATGTGAACCAGTTCCATCAGAAATCATCTCTGTTGAAGCCCAAAACTATTTAGTTAATTAATTAAAATGTTCGCAAGAAGTGAAAATGGTGATTTTGGGGGGAATTTCTGTGATATATGGTATAGGCAAATGATTAAATGTTTCATTATATGTTTTGTATTTTATTTTTAGGAAATGCAAGTCTTTCCATTATGGGGATCAATTTCATGGATGACGCAAACGGCAGTTCTGTCTTTATTGGAGATAAGGAATGCAAAATACTTGAATGGACTTCTGACAACATCACCTGTTCTCTACCAAGGCATCCACCTGGGATATATAACATTTATGTGCAAGTTGGAAACTGGGGTTATGCCAGTGTGAGGTAAGGTATTGTCCGAAATACACTGATCATAGCTCTGTGAAGCTGGCCTCTCTAAAAAAAGCACAGACCCTGAAACCCACTGCATGTGTTTGTGCTCTCTTTGTACTCATGGAGTCGCAGTATAGATAGTTAAGCCTCATCAGTGAGAGCTGGTTGTTGCACAGGTTAGGAGGTGAATTAAGCTATTGAATGAAAATCAGAAGCCAGGTGAAAATCAAATGCAGAAAGAGACAACTGCCCTGCTGATCAAGAAGAGAACAATTCTTTTTTGTCATCAGTATGTTGCAACATTGAATCACTGTTTAGTGTAGACCGCCCTTAAGGATGTAGGCAAGTGTGGCACAGATATCCAAAGCTACAAAATGAAAAATGATAAACATTCTGTATAACAGGCAGCTTAATGGGGAAGTTTGAGACTGATGCTTTGGGCAGGACTGTCTAATCCAGCAGGCACATGCTTGTCTAGACTATATCAGATGAATGGTATAGAATTCCATAACACAGGGCTTGATACTGTACCTTGTTGTATAAATGATGTGTTGCAGAGAATGAGCTTATATGCTTCCAGTGGTGTCCACTTGCACTTTTTTTAGACCGTACAAAGTGGAAAAAGCGATGCAAACAAGCAGACCCCACATAAGTGGGAAAACGCGAAGAAGAAGTTAATCATTGAAATTAATTGACCTGCAATGTCACGCTTCTTAAACACGCCAAACTGGGTTCTAAACATTTTTTTCTCTTTATGTTTTTTTATGTTACAGTGATGGAGTGAATGCTTCTATAGAATACGTCTTGAAGGTCACCGAGGTCTCTCCATTGCATGGCTCTCTTTATGGGGGCACAAAAGTCACAGTGACTGGCTCAGGTTTCAGTCCTGTGACAGATGACATCCAGATCTCTATGGGTAAGACTGCTCTTTCCTGTGTTTGCTGCTGTGAGCAGGTTTTTAACATGGTCTAAAATATAGACCCGCCAGACCTGTATTTCAAATTTATGAAGTGATGTAAAGAGCATATTGGTGCCTCATTACTGTGAATCAAAAACAAAACAGTTTAGATCATTTGTTTTCTGTACAGTACATAACAACACATTATATTTCTTGCACCAGAAAAAGCTTAGGGAACATCATTGAAGAGCTTTACGACATTTGTTCAGTGCCTGAGCCTGCTCTCAACTTACTATAAAGCATCTCCCTTTTTCCTCCCCATTGTGGAGAAACACCACAAAGTTTCGAAAAGTGTTCTTTTTACCAGTTCCTTCTGACTGTTCATCAATTTGTTCAAATGTGCAGGAAACATCACATGCAAAGTGACTTCTGCATCGGAGCACCACCTGGAATGCATCACCCAAGCAAATGAAAGTAGCTACACTGTAACCAATCTTGGTTCCCACCCAGGTAGAGTTGTATTGCAACCTTTTCCTTAGTAGTCAACAGGATTTGCATCTGTAAAAATAGAAAGAGGACATCGTGCTTTTCACGATTTTGCCTTTTTGTTTAAATGTTAAGACTTTATATCCATGAAGTCATTCCCTGTATGCTCCAAGGTTTCACTTACCCACATATTTGAATTATGTCCCTTTTTAATTTAAACCTGTTCCCACTTTCACATCAGATAATGGCCCACAATATCCGTTTCATGGTGGAGCTCAGGTATTGGAATTAGGCACCTCCCGGAAGTGAGATGTGATATCAGATTCAGATATTCCTTGGAGTCTTTGGGAAATCCATATTTAAAGAGGTGCTTCTCTGACCATTGTCTCGTATGAGTTCATGAATTTACTTCACTTTTCTTTTAGACTATGGGGTTGGATATGCCTGGAGCCCATCTTCTCTGGATGTGTATGTTGGAGACACAGTACAGTGGAGCTGGCGGGCCCCTTCTTTAGTCAAAGGGCTTGGATACAGAGTATTCAGTGTCTCCACACCCAGTAGCACGAACTATGATGGCACTGGTTTCATCAGTGGAAACGCAAAAACAGCTTCAGGTAGGACACAACGCCTATTCACAGACTTGGAATTGTATTAACACTCCATAGAATTTAGGTGGGATCAATAGCAATTGATATCCCAGTGAATCCATCAGCCAACCTACCAATAATAATAGCAATAAAAATGATGCCAAGAAAAAGAACGATAAAAGAGCTTGGTTCCTTCTTATGACCAGGTAATAGCTTGCTTTTAGATAAATGACAGAATAGTGATCTATCGCATGATTGTGTGGCATATTGCTGGGAGGCCTAACACCCCCCAAAAAAAATTGAAACCAAGTATTTTTCCCCAGTGAATGCAGTTTAAAAAATGAAGCGTGTTCAGTATTCAAAGAGATCAACAGAGGCAAGTTGGGAAGGTACACAAGTGGTTGTTTGCTCCAGCTCATCCAGGTGAAGAAGGATGGGGATTTGGGATTTTAATATATAAACCATTACATACATAAAAAAATACTTCTTTTCTTGTCAGGATTTTTCAGGTATCGTTTCACGGTGGCTGGGATCTACTACTACAGCAGTGGCTTTGTAGATGACCGAAACAGCAGATTCATGCAAGGAGTGGTGACAGTCAAACCTATTGAAGCCAAAAGTGTCCGCTTTTACCTCTCTGTGGGGGGAATTGAAGCAAAATACACACCAGGTTACTGATCTTTTATGTTATTTTTCGACCAAACGTTTTTTTTAAAGAATGGATTAAGCCAGACTATCCCAGATTATGTCCGAAGCTTTGCCGAATGCATCCTCTGCCGTTGAGGTAGAACTAGCAGTAAACACAGTTTGGGACAAGCAAGGTAATGATGCATTGCTGGGCTACTAAGATAGACAAGACTCTTGGGAACATTGCACTACTTTTGATGCTTCAGCTTCAAGTGACAGACTTGTTTTACACGTCAGTTTCTGTATATTTCTACCATACAAGAAATAAGAAAAGTGTAGGGATGGAAGATTCTAAAACCACTGAAATTTGGTTTGTTTGTTTTCCACGGCATATGAGCTCTAGGCTTCATTATTACATCTGATGAGCTTTTAATTGGATAGAGTTTTCAGGTCTTGTTTTGAGTGATATGTTATTCTAATACGGAGCGCTGAAAAGTTAAAACGGCTCAATTTGCATTGAAATTGCCATATTTTCCCACAGTATGTCCTTGCACCGCACTCTGTTTGAGGCACAAACCCAACATAGAGCTATGGGAAGGTGTTTGTTCATGCACTTTCTTTTATGCCAGGTGCTTTGTTACACCTGTACTAACTCTACAAAAAGCATCTAATATTGCAGCTCTCTGAATGTGAATTCAAAAAAATAAATAATGTTCCATCATGATATTCTTGCCTTTAAGGAGACATGGAACAGTAAGTCATGTGGATGTATTTTTCAAAATACCATACTTTCTAATGTAAAGTCATATACAAGTTTTCAGAACATATGTTGACATATACAGATATTACATGGCTCTTGTAGTGTCATTTTCACAGACCTAGTTTTGCTTACTGTCTTTTGCAGCTGCACAGCGTTCAAGAAGGTCAGTGACGGACTGCATAACCACGACTCCAAACTGCTCTTATGACCTTAACCCAGGTGCATCTGGAGAAGCTTTCTCATTCCTGCTCTCAGACTGTTATTCTCCTGCCATCACTGCTATCTCACCACCCAGTGGGACCGTCTACACTGTCATAAGCATACAAGGACTAGGGTTCAGCAACACCAGTTGTGCGAATGAGGTTAGACATTTGGGTTACTTTGTTAACACTTAAACTTACACTTAAAGAAAAGTACGTTGTTCAGATGTCTGTAGAAGCAAAGTAGGCTTTCTAAAACTTGTAGGCTTTAATTCCTCCTCTCTCGTAACGCAACTTACAGTACGTAAGGTAACTTGCGTCTCATAAACGCAGTACTTTCTTATTAAAACCTGGTATAAGTTATCACAAGTCAATTACGCATTTTAGGTTTAACATTGGTTATTAAATAAATGTTAGTTCTGCTGTAACAACAGCAATTAACACAATTTTGAAAGCTACGCTATTCATTTTGACGCATGGAGTATCAAATCTTTCTTCTTTAGGATAATGTCATGGTTCATTGACTGATACATTTAGAAAATCAATGGTAAGATAAGCATTACTGGTGAAGAAGCTTTTCTTAAATTTAACGTTCGTTACCTTTGGTATACATGTAGTTTAGTTAGCGTAGTATATGTTTTCATGTAATGAAACATTTGTTGCGGCTTTGTTTAAATATGAGGGCTTGTGGTATTCTTAAAGGTGACCATCGGTGGACATCCCTGCAGTGTTATCAATAGCACAACAACAGAAATCATGTGCAGTCTTGACCCAGAGAATGCCATGCCTGTAGGTGTGGCACAGCTGGTGTCCGTTAGGGTCAACAATCTGGGCACCGCCATCAACTCCGTCGTGAACGAGTTCGGCCGTCGCTTCGTTTTCCTGCCAGTCATCGACTCCATCAGCCCGGAGGCTGGAGCCACCACAGGACGAACGAGAGTGACCATACTAGGATCGGGCTTCTCGGGCTCAGCCAATAGCGTCATGGTGTCTGTAGCCAGCGTGCCCTGCTCAGTGGTGTCGGTGAACTACACGGCCATCACCTGCGACACCTCTCCCTCTACCGCCCGCACGGGGGCCATGCAGGTGTCCGTGCTCGGAGTCTCCGCCTCCTGCCATTCCAGCTGCGCCTTTGAGTACTCCTCTTCCTCCGTGCCCTCCGTTTCCAGCGTCTCACCGGACAGCATCAACGGCAGCTCAACGACGCTGACGATCCAAGGATCGGGCTTCGGGAGCCAGGCCGAGGATGTGGTGGTGCTCATCGGGAGCGCCCCGTTTGCGGCGAGTGACGTCGCCGACACGAACATCACCTGTTCCATCGGGCC